CATTATTGTTCTATTCTTATTCTTTTTATGATTCTTACTAGTTGAATGATGCCGCGTCCAAGATATTAAGGGAACCTCCTTAAGCCTCCTGTATTACCGACTAAATCGTATAATTTTTGTATTGTAAATACTTTTTTTGTCATTCATAGATTCGAAAATCCTTTTACAGAATTAAAGTATACGCATTAATACGTGCCTGTGAGGTAGAATCTGTGCTGAAAACGATAAAAAATTTCAAAATTGAGTTCTTCTTTACCATTTTTTAGTCCAATATGGCGCTCCAGAGCTGTCACGTCGTTGCACGTCGTAACAACATTTGTTTTATATAAAAGCTGCACAATCTGTACTTAAGAAATAGTAGTCCACAGGCACGTAGTTTGCATGAAGAAACAACGTGGAGTTCTTAAAATTAGATTTAGATGTCTAATTAAAACATAATTACGATACAAAAATTTACGTATATGTGTGGCGTACGTGAGTAAAATATTGATGTAGTGATGTGTCAATGACACGTAATCGTCTGTGTGTAAGATCCGTTAAGGATCCCCTTAAATTCGAGACACTTCATTGGCTCTGCCATATTTTGTCGAAACCAATAGGCTGGATGACAACCTTGGCCAGATTCTTAGTATAGGGACTCTAGGTCTTCTGTGTAATGGACGCCAGCTAGGCAGCGTCTACTTCTTCTTCTCGTTCCTTACGAGTAATAAAGCGTGCATTATTAAATAGTATCATTATCTGATGATTTCTTCCTATCATCTTATACGAGATACATTACAGTTTCGAGCGACTAAAAATGTTTTCTCAGCGATCTCCGCCGCTCGCCGTATGCCGTATATACATATATACCGAATGGGGCAATAACTTTGTCCACCTTAAATATCTCCGCTATTTTCAGAGATATGAAAATATTGTCATTACAAAAGTTGTAGGGCATCAAGAGAACTATAACATATGCTAGTCATAATTTTTCTAGGTGGAGGCGTTTCGGAGATTTCGAGGTCAACATCATTATTTTAAATGGAATTATATGAATTTTTT